GGAACTAACGCGGCAGAAACAGCCCGCAATATCAATGCTGCGTTTGGAGAGGGGTCTACTAATGAACGCACCGTGCGATTTTGGTTTAAACGCTTTCGTGATGGAAATTTCGACTTAAAGAACGAGCCACGAGGAAGACCGCCCACACAGGTGAATAACGATGAATTAAGAGAGATAGTGGAAGCCGATCCTAGTCAAACTACCCAGGAATTAGCGGCATGGTTTAACGTTACCTTACCCACAATATTGACTCACTTGCGTCAAATCAATAAAATAAAAAAATACGAAAAATGGGTGCCTCATGGTTTGACTGATCTGCAGAAAGAAACGCGTGTTGAAACTTGTGTTGCCTTGTTGAACCGGTACAGAAATGAAGGAATATTGGATCGAATTGTAACATGTGATGAAAAGTGGATTCTTTATGATAACCGGAAAAGAAAAATGCAATGGCTGACCCCAGGTCAAATGCCACAACAGTGTCCTAAAGCAAAACTTACCAATAAAAAGGTAATGGTAACTGTTTGGTGGTCTCAGCATGGTGTTATTCACTATAGTTTTCTCCGATCTGGTCAAGCAATAACGGCAGATGTCTATTGTGCCGAACTCCGAACCATGTTGACAAAACTAGCAGTAAAACAGCCCCGACTCATGAATCGATCTTCACCATTATTGCTCCACGACAACGCGAGACCTCACACAGCACGAGAAACCATTTTGACCCTTCAGGAACTGCAGTTAGAAACCATTCGTCATCCTCCGTATTCACCAGACCTTGCTCCAACGGACTACCATTTTTTTCGTGATTATCTACGTGACAAGAAGTTTTCTTCCCAAGAGGCAGTACAAAATGCTTTCACACAGTTTGTGCAGTCTAGATCGTCGGAGTTCTATCGCAAAGGCATTAATAACCTTCCCATTAGATGGCAGCAATGTATAGATAATAATGGCAACTATTTTGATTAAATAAATTTGTTAAAAATTTAAAAAATAAACAATTTAGATTTTCAGTACAAATCGGCAATTTCATACTTTAACCCCTATTATGAGCTTGAATCTGTTAGTAAATATTTTTTCTGGAATTTTATTATAAAAAATTATACAGTGTCTTGTAATTTCCGACCCGGGAGGAACATTTATATGACCGTAATTTATTTCTCTCGTGCGTTTGGGTGTAATTAAAGGTAAATTAAATTCATTGTCAGAAACCACAGCTTTAACGCTGAGTTGAGTTATGTTACACATGGAGGCGGGAACAGAAAGTCCGGTAGAACCATCTCGTAACAGTATGTTGCCGCAGTCCGGGAGTAGATTAAAATAGGTCAGAAAATCGGAGCCAATGATAGCTGTCTCGACGTCAGCAATAGTAAATTTCCATAGGAAATTGGCGACGAAGACCGAGATTTAATGAAAATGTGCGATTGCCATACGTTTTTAAACTGGTGCCATTGCGGCACTAAGAGTATAATCGGAAACTTTGCATTGAGTCGACAGAAGTTTCTGGGGGAAACAGGAACGGTCGGAACCGGTGTCAAAAAGAATTTAAATTTGGTTACCTATTAAAGGTGATTGACTATGGGTGTGTCCAATCCATGGCAATCGCGATATAGGATTTCCCTAGTGCAGGGCTATGAGTGTGTGAGTTACTTAGTTTTTGTTTTTTTTCCATCCTCTAAGGTGAGTTATTACTCTTATTAATATTTAGCTTGATTAGAATCATATCAAACAATATGAGCCAGTGATGGGACACGATCAGTAAAATGGAGAATCGATGCTAATTATATCGACTGAACAATGACACATTTCAATTTGTATTATAAGCGGTAATGACTGGAATCAACTCATATATAATTAATAAAGTCCGCCATACGGTTAATGATTATTATACAAAACTATAGTAAGACTTTTAAACAAATATATTGTCGACTATTACTGCACTTAAATACAAGCTACAAATATGTAGTAGTTCACGATTTTAAAGGCTCACTGTTACTTTGTGCGTTGTACGTCCCGCCAAAACATAACACGAAAAGCCAGGAATATACAGCTTTCTTTAAAACGTTTAGCCACCGTTTTATTGCTGGCGGAGATTACAATACTAAACACACAGAATGGGAGTCGAGACTTACTACCTCAAAGGGACGTGAGTTGCTGACTTGTATTACAAAGCTACAGCTCACAGTAACATCAACTGGGGAACCGACATATTGGCCTTCAGATGTTAAGAAAAGACCTGATCTTGTGGACTTTTTCATTAGCAGAGGACTGCATAGTAAATCTATAAATTGCTACTCTTGCCATGATTTGACCTCGGATCATTCACCTATAATGACTCACGTAAGTCACAAAGTCGAAGGGACCAGTCAGTTATGTAGACTACATCCTAAAATCACTGATTGGGCATACTTTCGAAGTCTTGTTGTGGAATCACTGGACTGTCAAATTCCATTTAAATCAACAGATGATATTACAGAAGCGGTGGAAAGTTTTAACCAGGGTCATACAGAAATACGCCGAAAAGTATGACTATATTTGTTAATTTTCAGTTTAATTTCCATACATGCCAAGCATACCTAAATAATAGTATATTATTATTGCAATAGTAATTGATGCCATCACATTGTTTTGAATGTAAATTATTTATGGCGTAATAAAACAAAAGAAAACTATACATTACTATCAGCAATAAAAGTTATCTCTGATGTAGCCGCAAAACCTTATTTCGTATGTTAATATAATAATATGCTAATCTCGTAGTGATACAAAAAAAAAGATACGGGAAACTTAATAAACGATGTTTCTAAAGTACGTAATTTCTCAAAGTAGTGCAATGAGCCACTTTGTTCCGGAAAACAGCGCGTTTTCAATTGGCTGAAGTTGGCAAACACGCGTGGAAAGATTCATTAGAGATCGTGCGTAGGTAAATATTTTACCGACAGTGTGGCGTCATCGGTTGTTAATCTTGCTGGTCATTGGTAACATGTGAGTGCTATTTGGACCGAATTTTGCATTTGATTAATGTTTCGTATTAAACCGACCTAGAGTAAAATTATACTGTATTTTACGTTAGCATAGTAAAAGGCCGCGTTGAGTGATGAGTAAATTTGGCCGAATCGAGTCCAATTAGTTCTTTCGATCTTTTCCTTATATTTTTTACTAAGTGAATCATCACATGAATCACATCAACGTCAAACTCGAATATAGTACATTACTTAGTAAAAGAGTGAGGTGAAAGTATAAAAAGTAAAACAAAAATAAATATGTGTCGATATCTCGGTAAAGGTACCTCAGGGAAGAACTCTATATTGGTTTAATCCTTACATTATATTAAATGACTGTGTATTACGTGTTAATTTATTATACAAATTAATCATCAATCGTCCTACTGTCGTGCACGGACATATTCAAAGGGCTATGAACCGTCTTTGACGTCAAGGTTTTGTCACGATGTTTTCCTACAACGAGAGGTACTGCTAATAAATATGCACACCTTCACAAGTTTACTTATTTTTTTTTTATAATACTAAGTGGAAATAAGGAAATGAGGCTTTGCCCTGTAGTGGGACAATAACGGCTTCAAAATGAAATCAAATGAAAAGTGATGCGACGAACAAGTCGTGCGCCTGGTAGTAAGCGACACGCCTTTCCATAACAGTTGCAATGCCTTACCGCACCAGAAATACATATGTATAAATAAATGTAGGTAAGCTGACAGTACTTCCTTGAACGAACTGTTCCACAAAGAGTCCTACTGCAAGTAGAGATGAGATTAACTGCTATATTCGCATAGCACGCTAAATGCTAAATGCTAATTTTTATAGCGCGCTATTTAAAGTGCTAAAATTATAATTTTTAGCAGCTCGAGGTCGTGTGATAATGTAACGAATGGAAAGAAACGTGAAATAGTTGACGTGCGCTAACTTGTTAAGTATAACATCTATGGTCTATCTATAGAATAGCTTACAGTTTTTTATGGTTAGTTACGACCGACTTCATTTGTTTTATAACTATTCCATAATATGGTGGTTACAGGTTATAGACGATAAATCAATGAGCTTCCCTTCATACTTTAACAATTCATATTTACAATTTGCACAAAACTTTACACTGGTTATTTACTTTAAATTCTACTCATAATAATTAATAATAACGCACACACTCGTACTTTTATATACAAATATTACAACGACTTATTAATTAAACAAACGCTAAACTAACTAAATAAATCCAAGTACTTCTTATATCTTAGTTTAAATCGCTTCACCAGACGAAATTTTGCTAACGTTCCACCATTAGCGCAAAATCGCATTAAAACGTAACCAAAATTATAATTTATAACTACAATTATAACACTTGCACACGTGAAATTTTACGTCAATAAACTAATCAGCTATTTGTATTTGTATTTGATAAATGTATCAGCTATTTCGCGTTTCGCACCAAACGTAAAATGCTACAAATAATATGTGAAAGTATTTCACGTTATAATTGTTTCAACCAATGACAAGAGCCGCAATTTTCACATAGAATATAGTGCCATCTATGAAATATTAAGGGAGATAACTCAGGACGAAGAAGGATTTTGTTTGTTAGCTGCGTAAGTAACGGATAGATTGATGGTATGGCATTGAAATATTGTAAAACTATGTCGCTAGATAGCATTTGGTTTAATTTTCTTAACGTACTCCAATCCAAAGTGAAAAAAAGTTCGTTATAATTTTAGCACCTTTATGTCTTTCAAATTATAATTGCTATAATATTTTTTTAATTTAACGTTGTAATTTGAGCTATATATTATTTTAACTATCTCAAACTGTTAGTAAGACTTAGAAATTATAAGTTATAGGTACTACATGCTGCTACAGGAATTCGAACCATAGACCTTTAAACTGAGAAGCAGCTGTTCTTCCACTGGGTTACAATACATGTTATATATAACTCGCTTTTATAGAAGCGACCATAGGGTACCTTTGCTCGTGAAATGACACACAAATCGTGTTTACCTCTATCCTGTTTGGGCACGCATGGAGATGATTCTTGGCACTTGGTGACGCATTTTTTGTGGCAACACAAGTCACAATTGCAGCACTGCATCGCGTCCTTCAGCCATATCTAAACGACAAATTAATGGGTACTATTTAACGATTAAGTAAAACCACTTTACTAAGAAGATGCGAAAAATCATTAGGTCAAGAATATCTTATCAGTAATCATTGAAAACTAGACATATGGGTTAATTAAATGTGTGCGTAATAAAGATTTTATTTCATAAAGTTTAACGTTGCGTTATTGTTCATAACGCTTCACATACGTCATTTACGTTTTTGTAGACAATTATCACATACTGATGTGAAATTTGTAAGTTATTTTGGCAACACTTCACAGTTGGAGTGATGGTAGAGGGAAGTATAAAAAGGGGGACCATAAATTAGAAAGACTAAGGAATGACAAAGTGGCGGGCATTTATGTTCAGAATTTTGTTACAATATAATATTCTTAAGTTATCACGCAAGGACTCTACACATGTGGGTGCGTTTATAATTTAGTAACGAAAAAAAATTTATCAGTACAGGGTACTAAGAAACCGACCTCAAAAGTCATTCATCCCCTAGTTCACCCGTCACCTTTAAAGGTGGAACATTTTCTTCAAATTTAAATGGGACCAATACTGAAGTACCCTCTTTCCAACAAAAAAAGAATCATCAAAATCGGTTCACAAATGTCAGTTATCGCGTAACACACATACAAAAAAAGAAAACACATACAGTCGAATTGAGAATCTTCTCCTTTTTTAATCTCGGGTAAAAATGAACATAATTTTTGGAAAAAAACTATTGTCTTACAATTTTGTTAAAAATGTATGTACATAGCAATTGTGAAGGTAAGTTGTGACGGTAAGCCGATGTAGAAAGTACACAAATGCTGCAATGTTATACATTTTCCGTTCAATACATAATATTGAGTTAGAGAATAAGTACCTTAATTGGCAAGCAAATTACACTTCAAAACGTCACAGTCACTAAACTCCAATACTCATTCGTAACGCTCAGAGAAGAAAGAATAAGAAACTCGAGTCAGAGCAGACCGGCGGATTTCAAGCCAGGACATTCAATTTATCAATGTATATTTTATGCTATTTCACTTGCAATAAGGTATACATTTCAACGCTCTGAGACGCAGAGAGAAATGCGCCGCGATGCTCCGAAGTCTCAAGGCATTGCAATTTATACTTTATTTCAATTGAAATTATACATTGAAATGTTACTACTTGGTACTTGGTGTAACGGGCTGGTGTTCGCAACTCGACGTCAAGGCGCCTATTTTTTGAAATGTTAAAGTCCTCAATCTTTAAATACATTTGTGCACATTTATCATTTACAATATTAATTTCAAATATCATAGAACAAAACAACCTGGAAGAGTTATAGATACGGGTCACTACCATGGATTTTTATCATCCAAATACGCAGAAGTGTAGAAACCTTTTTAATGTTTTTGTTTAGTGAAACAAAAACATCTTTCAGAACAGTTTTCAGTTTCAAATCTAGTAAATGGCGAATTTTGATTATTAATCGTGTTCGCCACAGGTATACATATATACATATATTCAGTCTTACATATATACTTAAGTACAACAAAAACTTAAAAGTTTATTTTTGGTACATTCATTATACACATTTTGTAAAAGGTCATGGAACAAAAGCTGTTGTTTATGATGTTAGCATCGAGTATGTAACCAGAAATAGAGACGAATGTCTTTTTATTTGTTTGAAAACTATTCTGCCATAACATTACGGTGACAACTGTGCTCAGTTGGCCAGCCCGAATTCGGAACAACTAACGGGTGTCGTCAATTGTTTCACTTCAAATCGACCAGTGTAACTTGAGCTTTGCTATAATGGACGAAAATTACAAATTTAATATTTAATTACCGATGGAATATTATTCCCTTTGTTTTGTAATTAGATGTTTTGCTGTTTTTCCCACACCACCGGATAGAACAGCCCCCATTGTTAGAGATAGTTTCTTTATTACAAGAAATACAGAATACTTTTGGAATATACGAAGATGTACACACAGGTCTGTTGTTGGCGCTGTACTATTTCAGTTTTCTAATTTGTGATTACAGCGCAAAGGACAGTTGATATTTAAGTGATATAAGGGCCATTTACCTTTTTATATATCATTTACATTTACATTTCGTCTCTATTTCTGGTTATATACTCGATGGATGTTAGTAATACAGTTCTGCGAAGTTGTTTGTGTTTTAGAAATAACCCAGTATAGCTTAGGAATTAGGAAGTGTTTTAAATATATTCATAAAAAACATATATAATTTTTTTAAGAGATCTATAAATACTTGAAAACAGTTTGTTTCTTACCTTCTTATTACAAAAGTCGCACTGTGTCGATCTATGAAAGTGTGTCCTTACGAATTCGTGTGCGGCTCTGGTAGGTTTAGGCTTTGGGGGCGCTTCTCTGGAGGGCGGTCGAGTGGTGCAACGGGCCCCTATAGCGCCCTCCCATTCCCACCATACTAGGGCGTCGCCGAAGCAGAGACATGGCTCGAATCCCGTGTGGGTTGACAACTTGTGACTTTTACTGTAACAATATTACACTGATACGATACTGCATGTAAAAACGTATAAAGTAATGACGACCCCAGTGGCCTAGCGGCTAGCACTATGGGTGCTACATGAGGAGGTCCCGGGGTTGATTCCTGGAAGGACTAGTTTGGCCAATGAACTTTTCTAAATTAGGTAAATAATGGAGTAGGGTTACGATCCGTCCGGATTTATACGAACATTTTCAGGTTTAGTTTAACAATTTTCAGAATAAAAAATGAAAATATACGCCTTACAATTCTGTAGTAAAATTCGACTTTCGACAAAAAATTTATTGCTCGGGCGCTTGTTATATCTCTGCTGCTGCGTGAGAGCTATTTTTCGATTTTATTTTGTTACTACTTAAAAGTCCGGACTCCTTGCTAATGTCAGACATTTTGTCCGGACTATCCAAATTTTGAAACGGTGATCCTACACCGGAGTTTAGTTCGTTGCTCTGGTACTTATAGTACAGGGATTTTCTGGTTTTGAAACCAGGTAACTGGCGTGGTTGTCTATCACATATTATTATTATTACATTATTGTTGCGATTTGTCTCTTGAGACAAATTATGCAAGAATATACCGTACTATATTTATTACTGTTTGTTTTCCAAGGTACTTGTTGGCTAGTTTAGGTGTAACTCTCGATACTATAGATTGCTGTATGACCAGAGGTTATGTAAAATTTGTCCCTCGTCACATTCAACCTTTTAGAATATGATACACATTTACTAGTAAAACGCGTAACATTAAGCTTAAGTAGGTTAGGTCGTGACATTGTGGCCAAGTGATGCCAAGCGTTCATCAATTTTACAATACAAAATAGGCAGAATGACAATAGGCAGAATGTCCAAAGAGCAAGATATTTAAATTCATTCTACAAACTTGAAATGGCCAATGTATTTACAACCTCAAATTTGCCTGCTGTCTAACTCAGAGAGATGGATGCTTTCAAATACTAGATTATTATCATTTTTATCTTGCACTTATTAACCGTGCAATTAAATAGTTCTTTGAGTGGATACTTATTAGTAAATAATCACAGCTGTCTATGAAATGACGATTACAGTAAAATACGGTACAAAATAAAATATTAAAACACACATTATAAATTATTTTCTTAAACTTAAGTATAAAATTTCATGATGTTCCTTTAATTTCAAACACTGTGACGATGCGACCTCCTCCATCGTCAATCCCACCTTTTTATCACCTTTTCTCAGGTTCCTGGCCACTTGTTTTCAAATTTTGATTCGTTCTTTAATTCCTTTGCCTCGTCATTCTCATTTTGTTTCGTTCCGTCGGTACTCTTTGCTTATGCGCTGAAGCGAGCAGTGATGCTCATGTAATTTTGACCCATTGACCAGTTAGCAAAATCTCTTGTGCGATAAACATTTAAAAGATCACAAAAAACTTTAAAATATATTTACAAAACCGGATTTATTTCTTTTTCCTTTTGAATTTTGAACTTTATATTCGCTAAGCAAGATGCGTGGAGGTTGCGGAGGCACTACACTCTCCAGGCTACATTACAATCTACAGGACATGCTTAAGCGGTGCCAGCCGTGCGTGACAACCCCGTCAATACTTAAGGAATTAATCCTTATAATTGACTATTTCGATCGCGATTATAAAAATGTAGGGTGCGTTTTTCGCATTTTGGTCGGATCAATAGGCAAGCAACATTTTAAGTCTTTGAATGCAGTATTACTTACTTTTAAAAGGTATTACTTACTTTTAAAAATAAATCACCCATAGCCGTAAGACACTGTATATTACTTTGATTTAAACTTTACGATTTTCACACATTATTACTGTCGTGAGTGTTGTGTGTCAGTCTAGTGAAAACCCCTAGCGCACAAATAAACAATGAAGACCAAGTGCGGGTAGTTAGAAAAACTCGCACGGGTAGAAGATGCTGACACCCGCCTCTTCAGTCCCTTCGAGATGGTCTCGAACGTCGCATTACGTCCGAAACTTCGTCGAGGTAATTAAAATATGTTTTATAGAATATAATTAAGCCCTATATATTAATTGAATGTTGCTAGAAGATTAGATAGATAAAAATTATTTATGTTTAGATAAAAACATACTACGATTTCACATAGTATAAAACGATTACAGTTAAAAAGAAACATTGAATTATCTAAGTAATCTGCTTACTTATGATCAATAAACGCACTAACCTAAATTTGATATCGACGTCTGGCGGTAAAAATTGATATCTCTTCATGTGATGGGGAACAGTCGAATCTTGACATTCAGCCAAAAGAACAGTCAAAGGTATATTCAAGTACCCTAGTAATATCTCGTCTTTCTCCCCAGGAACTGTAGCCCATACATTTATATTCAAGTACTTATGATTCTCATTTAGTTTGAATTCTGTTTCTTCATCAAATGCTATAATAGGTTTGATCGGCATGGGTTTGGTCCAGAACATTTGGCATATTTCGACGTGTTCAGTCTGTCTAGGTCCACCTGTTTCGAAGAGCTCTTCTTCATCTGGTAAAGGGTCGGTTCGTTCTGAGTTGCGGCATTCTGAAGAATCTGTTCTTATAATAGGTATGTCTGGGTGCTTTACAGTTTTGTTAGTCGTAACTTGTCGTAATGGGGTACTAGCGCCTGAAGCAGGTGGGGTACTTCCAGCGGAACTGTCGGAAGACTTGTTTTCGACTGAACATCGTCGCTTGCGCAGACCAAAGTTGCTCGGACCAGGGTCTGGTGTTTTGGACACTTGGCGTGTGGCTTCCGTTTTCTGTTTTGGTGTTTCGCTTTCTGATGGTGGTTCGGGTGGTGACTTCGCCGGTGAGTCTGATTCCTGCCATAACATTTTTAAATAATTAATACATTTAATTGTTACTTTGTGGAAATCCATATTAATAAAAATGGAAATAAATAAATGCTACTACGTGAACCCAGTGAACGTTAAACAATGCAAAATAGATTCTCTTGTGTTGAGTATTTTTTCATGATGTTAATTTCACCACGTGTTGGCATTGACTTACAAAAGTCAATGCGTGTTGGGTATATTTTCGGTGGTAGTGTTTGTGACTGTAGTTGCGCTTGTGTTATTTATTACATTATTTTGTGTGAACGGAGGGTGGTAAAATTAACTGCATGATAAAAATACTCAACACAAGCGCACTTTACCTTCTTCATTGGGTTCGCGAAGTAGCAAACTAATGTATGTACTTCCATTTGTATAAAATTATTCATAAATAAGGGACCCATGGTCCCACACTAGTCACAAACTGGGTGTCTCCGCGGCGCAGCACCGCGGTTCTAGTGAAATATGCAAAGGTTTCATACAATCTCGGCGGCCTAACGGTTTGCAGTGTGGGCGCTGGATGAAAATGTCGCGGGTTCGATTCCCGGTAGGACTAATTTGCGAAATGAACTTGTCTAAATTGGTTCTGGATAGTGCCCTAGAGTGAGATCTGTTGCTCTGGTAATCATAGTACACGGAGTTTCCTAGTTTCACACTAGGCAATTGGTGTGGTTGCCTGCCACATCGTTATTACCTAACCATCCTTTCAAAAGTGAAGTTTCTTACCTGCAAATTTGTCTTTGAAACAGTGGCCCTCATGCCCTGCAATCTTACACCCTCCATGACCTCAGATACTCTCCTGAAGGAAAAATTGGCCCGCATACGTTTCGTGCTACTGTCAGCAGTTTCTTCCCTTCGTATAGTACTGTTAGAGCCACCGCGGCGCACGCGCACTGTCACTGCTCGTCGTTCAACGCTGCGCAGGAGTTTGCCTACCTGTTTAAACAGGCGTTAATGTCATTATGGCTAGTAAGTTCTATATATACCTAATTTACAATAGGTCTATGTAAGTATTTTTTTTTATTTTAAATTTGAATATATACTATGACTTCATTGTTAACTTCAAAACGGCGATATTTCATGAAAAAAAAATGGCAAAAAACTCCATTCCTCTTAAATTTTTATTGAATTGTGAAAAGACTATTAGTCGTAGCGCCATTTATGAGCAATCTATGAAAGTTTTATCATCCAGTTAGATATCTTTGCAGTTACCACTCCTGGCGAGGGATGTCGCTATTAACTGTATTTTAAATTTTTATTGAATTGATATTCAATTATTTTTTGTGAAATTGCTCCACTAGTTTGTTATATTTATTAATACAAAGATCGAACACTCAGAAAAAATTCCTTCGATCCGGCCGGATTCGAACCGACGTCTTCTAGCTTACCGTGCCAGACGCTATACCAACTAAGCACTCCATTCCTCTTGTTTGCTCGTCATTTATGTGTTTAGCAATTGTCTCTTCAACTTAGTTCACATATCAACGTATATATGTAGAGAGCTACGTAACTGACCTGCGCAACATTATTAACAGGCTTATTGTCAATGGCCAATACGACATCGTCACGACGCAAATCCGCTCTATAAGCTGGTGACATTGGTACTACGGTATCCACCAGTACCACACCCACTCCTTGGCAACACACAAGTCCTAATGAGCCTGTCACGGCTGGTAACACTATGTCTAAGACTAGAACGCCGCGGCGAAGAGACACCTGTAAAGAAACAAATTTGTAAGATCCGGCTCGAAGGACCATTTTTAATGATACTGTTACAATTTAAAAGAAAAATGAAAGGCAATTTTTATATTTTTGGTAGCAGTAGAGCTCCTTGTGAAAGAGTTCGTCCAGGGAAGTATTGCCACCTTCTCTATTTCTGCTGCCAAGCAGTTAATATCAGCATTGCTGTGTTCCGGTTTCGAAGAGTAAAGGTGCTGGTGAAATTACAGGCACATGGGACTTGTCAACTTATGTCTCAGAGTGACGGGCGCGTTGGCAATGCCTCTCAGATCTTTGCGATTTAGAGCTCTGAGTGGCACTGCAACTGTTACGGACACCCGTGTACCTTACCATCAGGCGCACGTCTTGTTCGTCCCGTCACTAAATGTTATAGAAAATTCTGTATAATATAAATAAATAAATACACATAGGCTCATAGCCCCGTACTAGGGAAACCTTGTGTCGCGGGTGTCATGGACACACACATAAACGACCACAAAGTACACTCAAGCTCACGACAGAAATAAATCTAGGGCATTCAAATATTTCTCCCGGGCTTGGAATCGAACCCGAAACCTCTACGTGACAGAGAGATAGTAACCGTTCAGCCACAGAGGCAGTTATATCTGCATTAGGTGCTTTCTTGATCAATGGTCATATTATAGCGTAGATAATAGCCTTTTAAATTTGACTAAAGAAACCAGGCGCTCACTACAAAGAAAAACCTAAGCACCTAACCTAGGAACCTAAGCACGCGCAAAGAGAGGTGAAATTAACGCTGCCCTTCGAGCCGTGTGCAGTATGCGAAACCGAATGCTGGGGTTGTAAAGTAAATGAAAGACATGTCTGAGTGTTTGCACAGTCGGCGATACATTTAGCGGCAGGCACTTATCGCGTAACCTCGAGAGAATGACGGAGCCCTGGTTTGGCTTGAATAATAATGTCAAACGCGTTCAAGTTATTTAATAGGTATCTATGGGTTACTCCATAGGTCTGCGTACTACGTAGTAGACCTATGGAGTAACCCAACTTAGCAAGTCTGTAGCTTATATTACGAAATATATACCTACAACTCTGCTGAAGGCGATTCGGCAAAGATTTTAACGTATACGAAACCAGACTAGTTAAATCTAGTTGCGGCAAAAAAGACGTATTATGTACTATTGACTAACTGTATAAGTAGGTACATTGCGACAGCAATGACTTCGTTTCCTGATAAGGATTTGTAATAGTGGCATTGATTGTCGTGATTGTTATCGTATGTAAAACTACGCACTGGCCTATTACTGTATTGACGGCGACTACCTTTGCAGATGCCGTTTGCGAGCACTAATTATAGAGAAAATTTTCAAACGATTGGAAAAAGTTGAAAAAATATAATTAAAAGGCTCGTAAGTTCGAAATATCTTTTGAAGTTTTATTTAGCGTAAATGATAAAATGAAATTGTATAGCTAAAGCAAGTTAGAGAAAAAAGAGATTTAAAATTATCGGACAACTGCGAAAAAAGAGAATACTTAAGTAAAAAAAATCTTTATAATGGCTCCATTGTTTCGTTCAGTATCTTCAACTTTTGACGGATGTCAACTGTCAAACGTGGAAAAATATTCGGAATAACTTGGAATAACTATTATTTTTCTGAAAAACATGATTTTTCAAATTGGAAATTTTTCCCTGACCCGACACTGTGTATAACGTACTAAGTAGATACGAGGTGATAGATGCACATAAAGTTCATTATTTTTTAATTTAAAAAATTCCCTTCCATTCCGTTCCGCGGCAATGTAAATTGAGCCTAGAGGCGGGAAATTATCAAACGTGACTTTGATACATCACGCGATTAGCAAGAAACGGTTTGTAGAATATTGCAAATACCCTACTTTCTGTATTTTATTTTTAGGTTCTTTTTATTTGTTTTGTTCTGTCTCTTTTTCTTACTAATCCTTGCGTTTGTTAGAGCGGTTACATTCGGTGGTTTTTAACAGCGATACAAACGCGTGTTTGTGAAACGCGCATTGCATCGCGATTTATAGGTGGTTGCATCGATGCAGTCGCTTATGTTGAATCATTAAAAACGTACATCGCATTTGCATCGCTGCAGACGCGCGGCTAAAAATCGTTGTGTGACCGCTCTTAAAGCATTTAATGTTTTTTTTTTCTAATTGTGGAAGTTCGTCAATGGTATTTGAATTCTCATCCTTTCGTATAACATAATTTGTTAGACTTTGGTATAATGGGTTTTCATGATTGCTCTACACTGGAAAAAAACTACATTTTCCGATGTAAAATCGCATGAAAAAACCAAATATAAAAAAATATACGGGGCGTCAGACGGTTATGGAACGCGGAGGGAAAGTATTTTAAAATTAAGGGCCATATTCCAGAACTCTACTCAATGCTCAAGTTAGGACTTCAGTATGATTTCAAGCATTGGAAATCATACTCAAGTCCTTGCCATTTTTCCAAAGTGATTGAGTCAACAGTTTCACTGTTATGCGGACCAACCAAAGCCATTTTTAGGTTGTATCGACTCGTAGGGTTGTATTTCCAGTGCTTAAACTCATACTCAAGTCCTGACTTCAACTCTACTCACTGAGTTCTGGAATATGATGAGTCTTTATTGATATGATGAGTCTTTATTGATTGATATGATGAGTCTTTGTAATCTGGTTGAACTTAATCCTGTACATAACGCAAATGACCGTCTTGTTGACCTTGTTCTTTCCACGTCAGACAAAATAATCGTAACATCTACTGAACCTATTACTCGTATAGATTCTCATCACCCCCCCTTGAAAATTGTGCTGACTGAAAACCAAAAATTTAAAAAAATTAAATGTATGCAACAAATGAGATATAACTATCGCAAATGTAATTATTCTGACGTAATAAAGGATCTAGCAAAGGTTGATTGGTCTTGCTTACTTGATGAACCGGATATGGATGCTGCTGTCGCTGTGTTCTACACTATCGTAAATGAGTTGATTGTTAGACATACGCCGCTTGTGAGTAAAACTAGTAATAAATATCCATCTTGGTATACACTAGCATTAATAAAGTGTCTCAAAGAAAAAAACAAATACCATAGACGTTTTAGGAAGTATGAAAACCCTAGGGATTACGACACTTATGCGTTATTGCGTACGAGATGTAAGAAACTCACGGAATCAGCGTATGCATCGTTTATATCATCCACGGAGGACGTTTTATCTGATAACATAAAAGTTTTTTGGAATTTTGTAAACAATAAAAAAGGTAGCTCAGGTATGCCACAGACAATGACTCTTGGTACAGAATCTTCTTCTGATACAATTGGAATTTGCGAACTTTTTTCTAAGTACTTCGGTTCTGTTTTTGAGGTTCCTCAACCAATAGACAACCAACACGTAACTATCGACGAAACCTATTGTCTAAAGCATAATAACTTTGGTAACTATAGTATGGGTAATATTGTACTAAGTCAGGAAAAAATATTAGACATATTAAAGAGACTAAACATACACAAAGGTCCAGGATACGATGGAATCCCCGCCATCTTTTTCTTGAATTGTGCAAAGGAACTGAGTGAGCCACTGACATTGTTGTTTAACAGGTCGCTTAAGTTAGGTGTTTTTCCTTCCGTGTGGAAAACAGCCCATATAATACCTCTTCACAAATCCGGTAGTAAATCTAGTTGTGAAAATTATAGACCTATTAGTATTCTATGTTGTGTTGCTAAGGTATTCGAATCGGCAGTGTACGAACATTTTTACTCCCAAGTTAAGCCGTTTATCTCCAGCAATCAGCATGGATTCGTAAGGGGCCGATCTACAGTAACTAATCTGTTGGAATATAAGGATTACTTGTGTGAGGTTTTCGCAGTTGTTGGGCAGGTTGACGCCGTGTACACCGACTTTTCAAAAGCGTTCGATAAAATAAATCACTCATTGATCTGTAAAAAATTGGCAATGTTTGGTATTCATGGAAATCTTTTGCGCTGGGTTCAATCTTACCTCAATAATAGAAGCCAACTAGTCGCTCTCAAAGGTCATAAGTCATCACCTCTTATAATTAAATCGGGCGTCCCACAGGGCTCACATCTCGGTCCATTATTTTTTATCGTTTTTATAAATGATCTGATTTATAAACTATCCAGTCCTTGTCTTCTCTATGCTGATGACTTGAAAATATACCGCATAATAAGTGAGTCGTCTGACTGCTGTGAACTACAGGGTAATATTGACACAGTTTATGAATGGTGCCAACAAAACAGTATGCACCTCAATGCTAAAAAATGTTTTGTTATAAGTTTTACTAATAAGCGTTCTAAGCGTGTGTATGACTATCGACTTAATGAACAATTATTAGATAGAAAAACTGTAGCTAAGGACCTCGGTGTGTTATTTGACAGTAAATTAACGTTTCGTGAACATTATGCATAATTAAGAGGAAAGCACTTCAATTGCTGGGCTTCATAACAAGATGCACCAAGGATTTCAAACGGGCTCAAAGTTATCTGACCGTCTATTACAGCCTTGTCCGTAGTATTTTAGAGTATGCTTGTGTCATTTGGTCTCCCTGCTACTCAGTCCACTCGAATAGTGTAGAAAGCGTTCAGAGAAAATCACTTCGGATGCTTAGTTACAAATGTGGTTATGGCCGCAGCCTCGTTGGCTATAGTGAGAGACTTGACGAATTTAAAGTGACCTCCTTAAGTGTCCGCCGTAAGAAACAGGATCTCACTTACTTGCACAAGGTTCTTCACGGTGAGATTGATTCTCCTTACCTCTTAAATAAAATAGCTCTCTCTACAAGGCGCAACCCCCGAATACCCAACAAGACGTTTTACTTGCGGGCATACAGAAATAATAATTCGTTTTACAACCCCCTTGTAAGAATGTGTCGGCTTTACAACGAAATATTTGGATTTGGACATTTTTGATCCCGGATCCAGAGTGTTTAGACGAGTAGTAAAGCAGCTTGTACTTGTATAGATTTTCACCCATTCCCTTGTCGCTTTAGTATTAAGTAAATAAGTGAATTAACAACAAATTTAACAGTAGTTCTTTCTTGTTACTATAGATTGATGTGTCAACATAAGTAGGGTTACAATCTAGTACTGAACTTTGTTATATCATATTTAATTTGTATCAATGTAATTTGATTGTTATCTGTTTTGTTGTCCATATAATAAATAAATAAATAAATACGATCCTACAAATCGATACAACCTAAAAATGGCTTTGGTTGATTCCGCATATCAGTGAAACTGTTGAATTAATCACTTTGGAAAATAAATATAGTAAAATTGATGATATACACTGATTACTATACGGTGTGAAAACACGGTTCCAAAAACTATTCATGATAGAAAAAAAACACAATCTTACCTCCACTTACCTAATGTTACAAGAAAACCGCCGTAGTCAATAGGATTTTTGCAGTACGGGAAAAATTTATGTTCAAGCTGAGGTAATTTCGATTCTTAAGCAAATACCGTATACATTGGCAGTTTCAAGTTTGTTTTGTTTTTGAATAAATTGTATAATTGGATGGGAATTAATCTACTTTAATTTAAGATAGAACGTTAAGTAAAAGGTTATTGCTCTTTAGAATTGTCCATTTCGCACCCTTAGTAATATAAGGGCACAATCCAAAAAAAGTAGATTTTTGGGAAATCGCGTATAGATTCTAGATTCCTACATTACACCTATTTTTTCAAATAACATGCTTATTATTTAAGTTATAAATATGAAATTTGGCAGATTTGTTCTTTGATAAATGTATTATAAATAGCAATAAAAAAAAATAATATAAATAAATTCCATAAGTTTCAAGCAAGTTAAAAAAAACACTTTCAAGTTAGACCCATATAGTACAAAAAATATAACAGAAATATGGAGCTATATAAGTTTGATCCCATTTATTATTTAAGTCCCTATCAATTCCCAAATTTCCCAAAAATCTACTTTTTTTGGATTGTGCCCTTATATTACTAAGGGTGCGATTTGTTTTCGCATTTGGTCGGTTCGATTCTCAGATTAGACAAGCAAATTTCAAGTCTTTCAATACAATATTACATACTTTTTAAAATAAAATTATCTTTCTGTGAAGGAAATTATTCCATCTACAATATTTTATTTTATTTAAATTATTTAAAGTATTTCCCTCCGTGTCCTATAAACGAGGGAATGCTATGGGTATTGGAACGTCCTATATATTACCGACAACGTGTTACTGAATTAAGAAATTCAGCCGTAATCAACGTGACGAGTGTAACATGCGTCATGGAATAATCCAATTAATGAGATTGGGGTGTTTACCCATCCATGAGAATCCACGGCTAAGGCAGCGCGTACAGTTCCCGGCCCTCCGTTCCATTGTAACCTGGTTATTTCAACCAGCCGCACAGTTAATCTGCCGTGTGGTACAGGACCGTCCTCTACATCAGTACTACCCGGTTCTGATTTTGGGAAGAATGGTTTATACCTGTAATGAAATATAGCATTGACTTGTCAATGAAATATAGAATAGATAATAAGCAAAGATCGGAATTAAAGGAGTTAGTCTACCTGATAGTATAGTACATATCTAGGAGCAGTAGAGCTCCTTGTGAAAGAGTTCATCCAGGGAAGTACTGCCACCTCACATATTTCTGCCGCCAAACAGTAATGTGAGCATTACTGCGTTCCGGTTTTTAAGGGTAAGGGTGCTGGTGAAATTACAGACACATGGGACTTTTCAACTTATGTCTCAGGGTGACGGGCGCAGTGGCAGTGCCCCTCAGATCTTTGCGATTTAAAGCTCTGAGTGGTACTACAACTGTTATGGACTGACGTGTCGTTTACCATCAGGCGCACGATTTGTTCGTCCCATCACTTATTACCATTAAAAAAATACTAGTTAATCTACGAAATGTCCATACTAAGAAAACGTTCATAAAGTATGACATACCCATTTCGTCATCAATGCGTATAAAATTTATTTTTTTACTGTTTATTTTCTAAAGACGAAAATATAGGTGGTAACTTGTTTATTTTTTAAACGGCTAAAGTATTTAAATACGTAAGTACCCATAGAAACACAAGTACATAAAATATTATTTTGAAATATTATCATTTGTAGCAAATGCTAAAAAGGAAACCATAATAAATTAAACAAATTTTTATGAATAATATGCATATTCAAATATAATCAGTTCCTAGACGTCTCGGGATTTGTAGAAGAAAATGTCCACGTTATTCTTTAGATTAGCTAAAGTAACTCGTTCTATTCCGATCGCTGATAATAAGTAAGAATATTTTAGCTTTCTTTTGAGTAGAGCTAGAAGATGTACTATCTATAGATTTTTCTTGTCTATCGTAACTCGTAAAAGAACACCTTGTGTCTATATGTATGCGTATATAGTACTTAAGAACAATTACCGTATTTTATAATTCGGCAGGGTATGCCTTTGTGCAACAGCTCGTCTGATATGTGCAGCAACGATGGACGCCAGTCTCGGCTTGAGTTGCCTTCCCTGAAACCGCCCACGGACGCGGAGTTCAAGTTTCGGTGGTGACTCGAAGGCCAGCGCCCAGTGTGTGTAAGGGTTACGACGAAACATTACTCGCACATTACCACTTAGACTTTCCACTGAAAAAAAAATAATACGCAAGGTTATTTGTAAAATACTAATAACTATTATAAACAACAACTTTTGTTCCATGACTTTTTATAAAATCTAATAAATTTACCAAAAATAAACTTTTAAAGTTTTGTTGAACTATCTGACACTTTTTATATATGTATTTGGTAGTAATTTCAAACGTGCAAGCAACCACCTCGACGATATCCCACCCCCGCTCCGTGTTTTGCAATGGACTGGTAGGTATTCACGCTAGCGCTTTCTTTTGTTCCCGTACAGAGTTATCATCGTTTAGAGCATTCTATTTAAATATTTTTGTACGAATGTAGAATCTGATGAATTGATTGTTAGCAATATAGTCCTGAGAGGTTCTTAGTATTTTACAGATCATTCTGTATAAATATTTATACAAAGATCGAATAGTGGCTGGATTGGAACCATCGTCTTCTAACAAACCGTGCCAGACGCTATGCTAACTAAGCCACGGAACGAACGAGCGGTGATTACTAATTTTTCTATGCGCTTGTTGCAGATCTTTGTTTCGGGTTTTTAACGACTTTTTGCCGTAACACCGTCTGTGAGAATATATATTTACATACTTTTTCACTCAGCAATTATTTTTCTAAGTGTTCGCTCTTTGTATCAATAATTATAACAAAGTAATGGAGTAATTTCACAAAAAACCAAATAAATAATTATCATGGTGGTGAAACATCTTAACATTCTATAAAATTAATTACAACCCGTATAGTTAAATTGTTTTTAAAGTATGGAACAGTATTCAGATGACAACGAATTTCAACAGTGAGATAACCATCCCGAGAAGGAGAAAAGAAAAGCAAGAAATAAAATACTCCAACTAAATTATCATTTCAGTTATATCATCGATTCAATTTTGTAATTAAAACAAACCCAAGAACATTGCACATGCGACGCACCTGTGATAGAAATATTAGCTATCTTCCCAAGCAACATCACAGCATCCACGTCAATCCGGAAATTCCCATCATATGCTAAGTCGAACTTGACGTCGAGAGAGTGAAGCCGTGCGCCATCTTCTTCCAGCTCACCGCTTAGCAAACGGAGGTTTGTTATACTCGGAAACTCACTGCCCACTTCCAGGGATCGTAACTGAATATACAAAATAGAATTTGCATATCATATTAAATCAAACAATAATAATAAATCTTTACTACGGACAGCAATGATCCATGAAGTGTTAGTAACAATAAACTTATAATTAGGTTAGTACTTAGTTTAACTGCCTCTGTGGCCAAACGGTTACCATGCCTGACACGCAGAGGTCCCAGGTTCGATTCCCGGGCCGGGAGATATATTTGTATGGCCTACATTTATTTCTCTCGTGAGTTTGGGTGTAATTTGTGGTTGTCTATGTGTGTGTCCATGGCACCCGCGACACAGGGTTTCCCTAGTGCGAGGCTATTGTGAGTGTGTGCGTTATTATTATTATTATAATTCTACTACGGATTGTGTTCTCATTATTAAATGCCGCTTCATGGGGCACTCACTCCTAGCCACGAGATTCTTTAGGAGGCTGTTGCTGCTGCCACGTGTTTTGTTTAATAAAAACGCCGAATTTTTCTGTAAGAGTGCCACGAAGCTGTCGACGTGAGCTTCAGCAAACATGGCAGACGCATTTCATAACCGTGGCAGCTGCAGTAGCGTCCTGAAGACGATATCATACTGCGTGTGCAGGGCCCTGAGCGAGCTTTAGGCAAGCTGGCTCACAGGACAGGGCATCCGCGTACAGTAATATGTAAATCGATATCTCCAATGACACTACGCCAATTTTATTTTTTGGTTATTTTCTGTTGTTTTTGTAAACCGCCATATTTATTTACTAATATTATGCTCCCCGAATTTTGTGGAAAAAATAAAGAAACAAAAAACACAATTCAAAAAAGAAACAGAAAAACTTATTTTGTGAAAAAAAAAACAAAAAATAAAAACAGAACAGATCCAAAAATTAAGATGGCGTATTGTTCATTGGAGGTATCGAAATGCAAATAAGAAAATTTAATGATTATGAGACACAAAGGTCAGAGACTTTTTCACTTATAGTTAGCCTATGTAGGGGAGCGTGGAGGAATGGGAACCTACTAAGGAAAATTGACAATAAAAGTCATATCGAGTTCTTAGGTTTTCGCGATTGTTACACATAGGAAATGAAACTATTTTTCCGGATTTAAATCGCGGATATTTGTTTTTTCAAACAAACCGACGTTTCGGGCCCTTTACAGGTCCCATCAATCGTAACCGCTTCACATATACTAGATAAGCACAGAAAAAATATGAAACTAAAATATTTGGTTAAAAAATAAAAAATTAAACCATGTCATTCGCTCTCATTACCCCACAGTGGGAAATGGGAGCCGATAAGAATCCCCTATGTCAAATGGAAGCCACTATAATCAGGCTGAAAAAAAATAAATTAAAGTAATAAAATATTCATGTTAAAAAGTAATGAAAATAAACAAGAAAGTGTTAAAGGAATATCCAGTGAATATTGTAAGGGGACAAGGACAGCCAAACAGCTCTCATTATCCGCGTAACATCGAATTGAAAACGGAATAAAACTGTAAAAACATTTCTATTTTTATTGTGATTTCAAGCATAACTTCTAAAATTTGATAGATATGGTGACAAAGCTAGTGTAAATACAATGTAGTACCTATCTATGCATTTTAGTGCTTATCTGGGATGATGAAATTTAGCAAATTTTATAAGCGCGGAGCAAAAAACACACGACCATCTCATACGACTAAACGCGGGGTTCTACGGGGACGCACACGGGACTCGAACCTTGTCGAACGTTAGCGAAACCATAGGAATGCCGTTTGCACAAATACGAGCATTGGGAAAGTCCAGTTTAACACCGCTCTCATTACCCGCGGGCTCCCAATAACCCACGTTCCCCTACAGTCTTACTGCTGGGCATAGGCCTCCTCTCACAATGAGAGGGTTTGCGCTGTAGTTCCCACGCGGTCCAATGTGGACTGGGAATTTCACACACTTCATTAAATAGCTTCGCAGATGTGTGCAGGTTTCGTCACGATGTTTTCTTCACCGAAAAGTACATGGTAAATTTTAAATTAAATTTTGCACACAAATTCCGAAAATTCAGAGGTGCAAGCTCGTATTCGATTCGAACTCACGATCTACTGCTTGAGAGGCAATAGGTCAAACCATTAGGCTACCACGGCTTACAATAACCCTCTAAGCAGAATAATAATCTATCCTAAAAGAAATCCCGCCTCGTGTAGTGCCCGGCTCGAAAGTTCCCATAAATAAGAGGATACTAATTAATGATATTTATCTGACTTCGACATAACCACGAAATAAAGAATTCATGTCTTTAATTAGTTAATTAATCTTTCCCGCAGCAAAGTCTTTCGTGGAAAACATCTTTAACCAACACCACAGAGACCGACTCCATTTATTAATAGAACTTCTTCGAAATTATTGAGTGTCTGATATTTTCCCAGTGGAGCGCCCATTATCGAGCACAAGTTTGTCAAGAGAAATTGATCCCTACTTAAAACTAGTATACCAAGTGTTATAAATATGAAATAAAGCTGGAAGGAGGAACTTTTGTCAGTTTTTTATAATGGTATAACAAGAATAAGACATCGTGACCTTTTGACTTTTTTCTTCGTCCTTATATATATTTCATATTTCGATAGGACATCAAAACTGTTTTTCGCAGGGTTTCGAATATGCTAGTATTTGGGAGATTTTAGGAAAACGAGATCCAATATTCAAGGGCCAAAATTACATAGTTTTGAAAGGAGATGTACACTTGTACTAAATCCTGCTCAAAGTAAATTAAAATTTAAAGCAACAAGTCACATTAAAACCTATGTGGATACTTGAGTGATTTTCAGATTAGTTTTCTCTAGCTAATTTCGGTGGCAATTTTTATTATTTAAATATTCTAGAATAATATCACGAAGTATAATTTAATATTAGAGTGTAGTAACCTGAAAATATTATTTAATATTCATGATAATATATTCGACTACTTAAATACGTATAGTAAAATAATACGTATAATAAAAATTACCACCAAAATTAGGTAGACAAATTGAACTTGAAAATTACCACAAATTACATATTATGGACTATAGAAATGTTATTACCTGTATATGATACTTACCGTAAGTGATTCAAATATCTTTCCAGAAGAAGTCTTCGTGAGCAGCTCGGCGAGCTCGGTAGCCATGCGACGTCTGAGCCAGCGAGTATCGGCCGTGCTTTGTTGGAAGATGAACTGCAGCATGGCATTAAGAGCACCTTCGGGGGTTGACCCTGCGCCTCTACTTAATTCGTGCAGTATTTCCTGTAGAAGGAAATCATCTCTTTTATACAAGCACTATGTATTATGTATTTCAGTACCAGTAGAGACCTCCTTACATCGTCATCCCACCTTTTTATCGCCTTTCTCCGGTCCCTGACCACTCGTATTTAAATTTAAATTTTCAATTGTTCCATAGCTCTTTTACCTCGCATTCTGATTTTATTTCGTTCCACCGTCACTCCCTGTTCGATCGCGACAGCGTACGGAGCTGGTTAAAATTCAATCGCGTCTAATATTGATTCCTTTACTAATTTTATAATCACTAGTAATCTAAATTAATTTCGGCGTGCCACAGGGTGGTGTCTTGGGGCCTACTTTGTTCCTATGTTATATAAACGACCTTTGTAAACTAAAAATTGAAAACTGTAATATAATCTCATATGCCGATGATACCACTTTCACCTTCCATGGTTCCATGATACTTGGGAATCGGTTTACCTGTTTACTCAACATGGTTTTGATCATGTGTGTTGGCTGACAACTCCTAGTACATTACTATCTCTATTCGTAATTATACATCACCTTCTAGTAATCAGCTAAACATCATCGCTCACTCATGTTTTTCGCATCTGTCCCCTGCAAACTGCTTGTCCACAAATTCTCAAAACACAATTTATCAAATATCTTGGAGTAACTATTGACTGTAACCTGAACTTTTATGAACATATTAAAGCTTTGTCACGGAGAGTTAGCTCTCTTTTGTTTTCAAACAACTGAGACACGTGGCAGATGGCAATCTCATGAAAATGGTTTATTTCTCACTGTGTTAATCGCTTCTGATGTACTGCATATCTGCTTGGGGTGGTTTGTCTAAAACATTTATGTTGGAGGTTGAACGTGCGCAAAGAATGTCTTAAAGACTAGTAATTTTAAACCTCGACTCTATCCTACGTCATCTTTATATGAAGAATGTGGAGTTCTAACTGTGTAAAATTATTTATCCTAGCTTCTGTTGTCAGGCAACATCAGTATATTGAATACCCCTTAGGGGGGAAAATAATCCTAATAGACGGGAGTAAATGGTATGTGGTCATTATTAGGGCAGAACTTCTTTCAATAACAAATTTTATTTGTATCAAGATGGTAGGTAGAGATAAAGCCAATAAATTATTTCATATTTACCACACACGCTTACGTACCTATATAAATTTTGTTTATATTATTAGTATTTTAATCTCTAGTTAAGTATTATTGTCTATGTAAGTAAGTATTTTTGTTCTTTTTATAGTTTGTTTGTTAAGTGTATTTAATACTTTATATTTATCATCATTACGTTAGGAAGTGTTTTATAATAATGTACCTGTTTTCTATATATACCTTTTGTGGTTACAGCCTTACTTCTTTGTTACCTTTTCTTTCCTTAACCGACTTGAAATAAATTTGTGGACCTGAAGTTTAATGCCGTGAACCTGGTCACGGTTTGTTAGGATTACAACCCTTTCAATCCCTGTTCGGGCGCCAGTGACAGGGTGTGAAAGAGTTCGTCCTGGGAAGTGTTAGTGTTGGAAGGTAGGTAGTGGTGAAAGAACAGGCACATGGGAATTGTCAACTTTATGTCTTTCAGTGGCGGGTGCGGTGGCAGTGCCGTTCATATTTTCGGGATAAAAGCTCTGAGCGACACTGCAACTTGGTATTATAAAAAAAAAACCTTTTGATGACGTACTAAGATCATATATCTTACTTAGTTACAACTGACATAACTTGAATGAGACATACAGGTACGGCTTTTCGATAAAGGCGAAGGCGAAATTATGGAACAGATGACATCAAACCGGAAGAAAAGGGGTCAGAAAGTCGTTAACAAACTTTTTCATAAAATCTCGAATCTCAGTCAAAGTTGGACGACTCAGAGTGCACGCCAACCACAGACGAGTCTTTCCCCTTCATTAGTTGAGGTGACGTGATACGAATAACTTCAGTAAATGTTATATTATGTTATATTTGACAGTTTCGTGTGACACATCGTGCAGCGCACCTAGCGGCCACAAGAAGAATTACTACGAATAAAATTACGCGGGCGCTAGCGACTAACATCGCTTTAACTCGTAGTAGCGTGTCCTCGATGTGGTTGAGGTACAGATGTAGTAATACAGCACTTGAACAAAGTTTGACAGATCGCTACAAAAATATATTGCCATTAATTTTATACGATATCCTGTTGTACGAGTAATATGTTACTGGTTGTTTATTAATTGAATAACCAAAAATATAATAAGACATTCGGCTAAATTTGAAGACCTCATAACTCCGTTTTTGGACGAAAGCCATTTTTCTCTTCTAGCGCTATATCGGGTAATTAAAGTTAAATTATAATTTGTAGACCCTTTTTTAGTTATAAAATAAAAGTATGAGTCATAGATTTAATATAGTTATTTCTAGTAATTCTGTTTTTTATGTCTACTCAAAAGTTGATATTAATCGAGATTACGAGGTTTACGAATTTCGCCGAGACACACAGTGTCACTATTTAAAATCACTTCAAAATAAAAGATAAATACGTGAATAACTATAAAAACAATATGAACTCCTTTACCTTGGCCGAAAACTTCAAATTTATTTATAATACCATTTATTTGAGGCAAACGTAATCCATAATAATATACACAGGTCCATGAACACTTGCGCAAAAAAGAAAACAAAAAATGTTGATTGCTATTTTCTATTTTATACAGTATTGTTAAGGAACGAGTAAAATTATTCAAACATCAGTGAGTGAATAACGGAAAATAATAGAGCAATTTAGGCGTTAGGTGTATTTGTTTGCTAGGCGAAAATTAGAGTAACTGTAAGCCATTAAAGGCCCAATTTCGTGAGGCCCATCCTTGCTAACGATCGTTGACGTCATCAGGAGCACATACAAGCAACCAAAAGTAAAGCAAACATTACAGCAACCCTATCGAGCTTACGTAATATTGACTGTAGTGAAATAATACGGTATTTTAACAGTGTCGCGAATGAAGTACTTTTGAATATTATTAAAAAGTAAACGTAAAGTAATATAGTAAAAAAAGACGTACGTGAAAATTATAACAGACACCCACGCGAATTACCTTGTCTCAAGGAAAGTGTCTGTACTATGTGTAGCAGAAAAGAATTGCCTGTCTCAAGGAAAGTGTCTGTACTATGTGCAGCAGAAAAGAATAATTCACTCCGGGACACTACCATAGTAAATAAGACAACTAGTGTAAACAAGACAAGTAATGTAGTACCATAGTAAATAACACAAGTAGTGTGTACAAATGTAGCATCGCGGCTATGTGTGCACGCCCGTTCGCCGCGTACGCAGAATGTACGGACGCACACATTCGTACAATCTTGTGGTGCACTCGCGTTGCGGTTGCCACACGCGCCATTCATAATGGAATTGAAGCATTCCTTCGGTATTATAAAAATTACTTCAAATAGTAGATGTGTTTATTATTGTCTTTATGGATGTTTGTACGTACAAGAGTGCCTAAAATTCAGAATTCTGAACAATTCTGATCATAAAATCATTTCATTTCCATTTCATAATCATATCCCATATTCGAGATACGAATCTGCTATACTACGAGTATATATGCGAATAAAGATTATTTGAATATAACACGATAATATTGTGATGAACGCTTTAATTTTTCAAATAACGTTTACAACCTGTACGTAGAACTAAAATAATAATCTGACAACCCTACCCTCCGAGTGAAGTATATGCAATGACGCGCCGTACAGGAGGAAGTTGCATTACTTTTCTTACTACTACTTTATACCATGTCATTACCAACACTCAGACCAGAGTCAATTTACAAATGTTCAAATTGTTCCTCTCGGGATCGCACCCGGTGTTAACGTACTAGGAAGCGACAACAAAACACTGCAGTGTCCAGTGCACTGGATTAAGATTGACTGTGATTTGTTCAGCTTATTCACATCTTCTTCTTATTTTAAAGGTAGTCTCTTATCGGTGGAGTAATCGCATCTTTTTTAATACCAGTGACGGGACGAACAAGTCGTGCGCCTAGTGGTAAGTGACACGCCTGTCCATAACATTTGCAGTGCCATTCACAGCTTTTTAATCGCAAAGATCTTATGGGCACTGCCACTGTGTCCACCACCCTGAGACATAAGTTGACAAGGCCCATGTGCCTGTAATTTCACCAGCACCAGTTCTTTATATAAAAAAGTTATAATAATAATAATTATTATTGGTACAAAGATCGAACAAACAGAAAAGATAAGAAGGGCCCAAAGTTCAAAGTGTCAAGCTTGACGTGCTCTTGACTGTACCTTAGTATCGGTCCCATTCCGGTAACCGATTTGTAGAATAGATGTAACTATTTTTCCGGATTTAAATCGCGTATATTAGTTTTTTCAAACAAATATACGCGAAGGGCCCGAAACGTCGGTTTGTTTGAAAAAAACAAATATACGCGATTTAAATCCGGAAAAATAGTTTCATTTCCTAAATAGATGTAATTCTACGAACTTTTGAGGTCGGTTTTTTAGTACTCTGTACTGAGTTTATGTATTGTATTAAACATAGCACGTAAGAAAAACTTACTGTATTACATATAGAACATTAATATGGATCATAATCTGAAATAAATCATTCTATTCTATTCAGTTCGAAACTTCGAAAGGAACATCAATGTAACGTAACAACTTTAATGGCGTCACAGACGTAATATAAATCGTTTTGCTAACAAGGACGGTGCGCCCTCCCACCACTGACTTTATTCATATCTCTGGAATTGAAAGGATATATTGAAAAAGAAATTTCAATTCATTTTAAGTATATTCATATGAATTGAATGATGTAATAAATATTTTTAAATAATATAGGTGCTCAGTTGTGAATATATTAAAGGTCGCGGTGTCGTGCTAAAATGGCCACGTAATTAGGTATACATTTCCCTGGTGATCTCATCAGGTGAGTTAATTTATACGTGAAAACCTTTCGAGTATCCACTTAAAAGTTACTTGGAAACGAGTTATCTACGCTC